GTGGTGGTTGGTGGTGGTGCTAGACCACTGTGTTGCATCGCCTCACCCCGTATGATGGCCGTGGCCGTCCTGTTCAAATCATTCACGGTGATCGTCTTTCCTTGGCTTCTTGTTACACTCCCTCAGAGTCTTCGTCACAATTGTACACTATGTGATCTCGTACAAATCCTAGGCATTGCAATGTAATCGTTATAATTAGAAGCAGGCTTGTGACCTGGGCGTTAGCTCGCGGCCGAAAAGTTTGTGCCAGTATTGTCTAGATACTAGATACCAAGCACTCCTGTCTATTGTCTTTTTTCATTTGTTCTAGTACACTTGTCTTCAGATCTTTTGCACTCTGCATGCTGTTCTGTTTGTACCTAGGAGGAAACGGCGTGATGCGAGGAAACTAATTTTCATGCTCAGAGCCCCCATTCATGTGGATATATGCAGTCGCCGACGTGCCTAGCAAACAAGCTCGACTGGTCAAGTGAGTCACTTCACTTGCTTCTGACCAAGGTTACCTACTCGGATGCTGTTATGCTTTCCTTCGAGTGAAATAATACGCTGATTAGAATAAGATGGGCCACCCCATGACACATTTACAGTAGTAGATGTTAACCGAGATGTTCACTCGGATGCAATACGCCAAAAACATGTCCAGATGACGCGGCGTCAGAGGTATTGGCGCCGATTATTGTTCGACTTCAAAACAGCCAACGGCAACAGAATTGAAGTGTTTGCTTCACTCGACAACCTCAGCTTCGCCAGAGCGCACCTCTTCAATATCACGCTGGTCCCCTTCCCAACCCAGATCAGGGATGGGGTCCCGAACCGCTCGCCACCATTTGTCGTAGGTATTTCCGTTCCAATGCTTTTCCACGACGCCTGCTTCAATCAGTTCGAATAATGTTTCTGAGTCATTCACTGGCCATCGGTCCAAGGACTCATAGGCAGACTTCGCCAGTTCCCGAATGTCATCCTCAAACTCTCCGTTGCATTGGTCCGTGGCAATCGTCTCAAGCACCAGTTTGATGTTCCTAAACTGTCGTACTGCATATCCACTGTCTTGCTGCAATTCGTCCGCTACGTCGCGCCAGGATGCTCCTGACGAAAACATCTCTACTGATCGCGCGAGACGCAGATCTAACAACTTTGGCACGATGTCATTTCCATTAGATCTGGAATTTAGATCATCGCCGTTCTGATGTCGGCGATGAAGCTGTTGGAGTGCTTCCATAATATCATTAACTGTGGAAGCGACTTGCGGGTGTAGTATCTCACCGAGCCCTTCTACGACGGAGGGAATCTTTTCTGAGTCAGAAAGCTCATCATTCCTTCCAGCTTGATGAATCGCAGAAAAGTCCATTTCCTCGTACTCTTCATCTTCTTTGATAGCTTCATCAACACTGGGCCTGTTTCTACCATTATTCGCAGTCCATATTCTCCCACTGCAAGACACAACTGCGACAAATGCAGCAAATTCTGAGACTGACAGCGATTTAACATCATCTATCAAGGACAGACAGGCTGCTGTGAAAAGGGGATATTGGCACGGAAGAACGGACCCGAGAGCCCCGATAGGCGTCATCTCCATCGCCTGGTCACCGTGAATTGAAATAGCGTGGCAATCTTCTAGGACAGCCAGCAGCTCCGCCTGGCCCGACTCCTGTGAACTGCGCTCCTTGAAGAGTTTTTCCTGAAGCTTGTTTTCAGTCTTCTGCATACCCATGATATCATCTCCTAGTTGCGCAGCTCTCCGTCGTAGACGTCTCAGTTCATCGACCTCCTTCTCTCTACCATGCCATATTGATTCTCTGTACAAATCGTCAACCTTCTGCTGCAACTTTTTCTGCGATTCAAACTCTGGTATCTGGTACCGTTCTAAACGGGGACGCTTATCCGACGCAATACGCGATATCAGGTCATCCGAAACTCTGTAGACAGCTGCCGTTTCGTTGTCATCAACAGGACAGCATTTCGCCCACTCTGAGCTAGGATCAACATCGAATGTCGCAGGATGAGGCACCTCCAGCAAGTCCACATTGGGTACGACGTCCTCTTCTTGTTCTGAAAGTGCAACCACATCTTCCATTGACACCATTGTCCACATGCCATCTGCTAGAATGCAAACTACGAGCCAGCGATGGTCCAGGGCCTTGATGCGGCTTCCTTCAACGCCTTGGTCTCTTACTGCCACAAATACGGCCGCGGAGAGTCGTTCCCTCTTCCCAGGAGCTTCTGGTTTTCCGTCCTTCCCTTGAGGTGGTGCCAAGGCCTCATCCGGTTTCGTCTCTCCAACCTTGTCAAGAAGATCACTTTGGCCTTCCAGGAGCTTCTGCTCCCAATATGGGAGAGTCTCGACTCCTTTGGAGGACTCTATTCCAATCACTCTACCCGGTTGAGACTGCACCAGCTCTTCTCGTATTCTTTCGGTCGCAACAAGAGTGAACTTTTGTTCCATCGCACGGAAGACACGATCCGTCTCATTTTTCTTGGCGGTTCGACGCTCAAAGTCTGATATCGTAGACCAATCTTCGCTTTCGATTCGCTCGTCCATAGCCCGCTTCTCCATACCCATCTTCTCCAGCGTGGCTCGAAGAGCTGCTCGTTCGAGCCATCCCCGATAAGAATTAAAGGTGTAGTCGAGAATGAATTTGTAACCATCAACTCCGAATCGTCGCAATGATCGCAGCAACCCTCCATATGAAGAATACAATGCGCTGGGCGTCTGACGATTAGACACTGTCGATCTGCTACCCGCCTGGGGCGAGCCATTGTAGGTTGATTCCGGGAATGGCGAGAGCCCTCCGTCAGCACTAAGCGCGGAAAGAGACGAGAACAGTGGCTGCAGCAGAGTCGAAGCTATTTCACCTCCCGCAGCTTCATCGTCCACCGACTCGTCATACCACATAACAATCAAGTTGCCCACATCATCATCGCCAAATCGACCCGCCAACGCAGCAGCCGTAGAAGCCTTGATGAGGCCTTTTTCTCGGTCGTCACACGCGGCAAGAGCGGAGGATTCAATCAGAATGCTCTTCGCGCATGGCAATGCCGACAGCTCGACAGACCCCAGATGCGTGTCGGCGACGAGTAGTGGAATAAGACCGCCACGGTAAAGCTCCTCAACAAATAAGCGCACTGCAGGAGCACATCCTTCGTGAACAATACCAATCCCTGTGACCAACGCGTCCAAAATGTTGATGTCGGTGTCGCAGAGTTGGCCTTTGTGGGCTTGTCGATAGGCAGAGACAAGGTCCCGCACCTGCTCCTCGGTGTCCTCATCCCACAGCAGGCCTAACCCATCGCCGAGGGCGCTCTGTATGGCGAAGGTAGCATTTTCAGTTTCGGTCCTGCCGCGGATCAGCGCAATCGCCGGAAGTAGCATGGACTGGGCGTAAATCGCCTCTCGTCTTCTCCTCGCCGCCGCGCGCGACGAGGCCGTGCGGCCTTTCCGCTTTTTCGAAGCTCGGGCGCGCTTCTTGCTTTTCGCCTTGAGCTGCGACTTTGTCCTCTTGGCATCCGCGACGACCAAGCATGCCACGTCAGTATACTGTGCCTCATCAATGCTTCGAAACATCAAGTTTTTCGCCTTTTCCGCTGGAATCATGGTGATCCCCTGCAGGAAGCACTCTTCATACCGCGGGACAAAATCGGCGAGCTTCGTCTCCTCCTCCTTCTGCAGTATATCCCTGAGTAGCGTCAACGAAACCTGAACGGGGGATTCATGCACTGCGGCATTAAAAGCAAAGGTGCGGAGCAACGGGAACGACTGCGGGCGCTCAATGCGATCATGCAGAGAGGCTGCGCCGGGCGGGCTGATGGCAACCACGCGGTTCTGAATGGACTCGAGCCACAGCGGGAGCAGGTCGCGATCTACACCTGCGTTCTCCTTCGAGAAGGCGCACAGCAGCACGCGGCTGGGCAGGCCAAGCAGGATCTCCTCCCACTCGTGCACCGACGACAAGGAAAGATCGTCAATGAACAGCACGGAGGCCTTATCAAGCCATCCGGGCGAGTCATCCGCCGTGGCCAAGTTGCGCTTCAGCACAATCGGGCAGGTAACGACGACGCGCACGACATCCCGCGGCAGCTCCTTCTCCCCGAACGCGAGCCCCGCATCGCCCAAGTCCAGCACGACCTCTGCGCGCCTGTCCGGGCCGAGCTGGGTGCACAGCACGGCATACATGGCCTCTGCGGCCCTCCTGGAGGCGGCGACGTAGAGCGCGCACTCCTTCCACACGCGGTTGCGCATGACGACGTCCAGCACGATGGCCTTCTTCTCGTCGCCAGCGGCGGACATGTAGAGCACGGAGCGGCGGGCGACGAGGCTCTGCACGACGGACTTTTGGGCGTCGGAGAGCGGGATGGTGTCATGCGTGAAGAGGAGGTCGCGCAGCTGTGCGTCGCGCGCGGCGGCGGCGGCGGGGTCCTCGTCGGCGGCCGGGTCGTCGTCCGCGGAGGCGCGCGCCACCGGGG